TTAAAAAATTATTAGTTTAAAACTTAAAAAAAGTAAATAAATAGATGATTTAATTTTAAAAATTAAAATATAATTTTTTAAAATTTTATTTCTATAATTTTTAAGCAATACAATGCATTATTATAGTGACAATATGCATAGAATTTTTTTTTAATATCTCTTTTGTATTCACTTACCAGATATTCTCCATTATCTTTTACAACATGAACACATCTTAAACTTTTTTTTTATTTTTAAATTTTATTTCTGATAAGATAATATTGTATATAAAAATTTAACAACCCCGTAAAATATTAAAATCTTTTTAGTTTAAAGCATCTCAAACGAATAGACAAACAGACGCTTGCTTTAAATAAGGATGGAGTATTAAAGTACAATATTTACTATTTAAAATATACAAATAAATTGTTTAGTATATTCTAAATAGCTTACTAATTTTAAAATACACGTAATATTAGGAGGAGTTGTTGTTCTTACAATACGTTCGTTTTACCATGTCAAATTAATAAATATAGTAAAAGATTTAGAGAATATTAATTAAATATCTAGTAAATTAATTAAATTGTAGGATCATGAAGAAATTTTTATATTTTTATAAGAGATAAAGCCATTTAAGTAGCTTAGAATGTGATGGAAGAATTATGTGATGCGGAGTATCTGATACACGAAATCTTAGTTAAATTATTTGGAAAATATATTAAATTTTTCCATATTTTTATATTATAATTCAATGGTTTTATAATAACCTTCTACTTTGCTTCTCTGTCTGTCTGACAAAGTGATAGTTTTCTATAGCTTTCGGCAATTCGTAAACAATGTGAAGTACAAGATGAATGTCTTCAGGGCGAAATTCCGATATCCGTCCTCTCAGGTTCATTATCGTTGTAAAGTAATAATATCAAGCTAAAGTTTAATTAACATGTACATCACGAACGAGTATCTTTGCTGATCGAATCGTTTCCATTCCTATATAATCAATTTTCAACTTTAACATACCTCTAGAAATACATTAATTCGAAGAGGAAGCCAACAATAAGATCAAATTCTGATATAAATTTACATTAAAAAAAATTTCTGAATTGATTTTTTAGATAAAAAATACATTAAAGTCCGCATAAAATCTCATAAAAGTAAGCTCTAAATATATAATAAAGCAATAATAGACCGTATAACTGGTGTGACTTTACAGGTTTATTCTATACAAGAATCAATAAAATTTTGTAAAAATATTATAGAAAAAAAAAATTTATATATAATGATTTTATCAAAAAAAAGAAACACACTTTATTGTTTACAATACAAACTATACAAAAATAGATTATAAAAATAACATTTTGATGTTTTCAAGATAAGAAAAAAAAATCACCCTCCATATCTAAAGATGATAAAAAAAATATTTTCTTTTATATAATTTAATTCAGTAAGCTAAAAAGAATAAATAAATAAATAGAATATAAGTTTGTAGATTGATAACAATATTATATTTAAAATATTATTGAATAATAATAATAATAATAATAAAATTAGAAATAAATTATCTCCTTTTCTTTCACACGAGTTACTTTGATAAAGAGGGATGATAAGAGATATTATGATATTGGAAAACATATAATTGAGATTAAAATAGTCAGATCGATATTGAAATCTTACTTGCTTATCAATTATTTGATTACATTTAGAATGTTACGTGAGAATGTTTGGTAAATTGTTATAGAAAGATTCTTATCTCGATGCTCTTTTTTCCCCTTCTTCTTCTTCTTCTTCTTCTTTATTCTTTCTTTACTTAGTGACAATTACACCTTTGAGTAATTTAATACAATAATTTGCATATATGTTGACATTATGATTGGCAGCTTATAAACTAATAATAATTGTTTAGATACGGATGTCAAAGGTTACTTATAAATAATTCCAATATTATGTAATGGATATGAACAATGGTACATTAATTTGATAAATGGAATTTAAGAATTGGAGTTTGTTTATAATTCTAAGCATATTTATACTATATAATGGGTTGAAATTTAATATGTTTATTAATGTTTTATCAATCTTTCATGGTTATAATTGTTATAAAGGATTCAAAATTGAGAAATTTTAAATAGAATTTTGCTTGAAAATTTATTTTGAAATTAAAAAAAAATTAATTTTGTTAAATATTTATTAAAAATATGAGTTGAGTAATTATAAATAATTTTAAAAAATAATTTTAGAGTGTTCAAGAATCGAAATTGAATGCTTCATCGTCTTCATCGATACTTCAAAATTACAATTTTCTTCGTTTTAATGTGAAAATTTTAAGTATTATATTGAAATTTTGAGGGTTTTTTTTAAAGATTATTAATTCAAAATTTCTCTGTATTAACTCGTTTTATTGATGTATAAATCTAGTTACATCTCATTAAATCAATACCAATCGATACGTTCTTCCTGAATTAAACGTAGGACCTATACATGGGCTATACATTACAGCTTATGGTCTCACATTAAAGGATATAGTTTAAGGCTTTCCAATTTTAAATTGATTATTATTTGATAAACGGATAGAGAGCTCTAATATGTTACCTTAAAGCCACAACAAGGCCCCCCATTTAATTTCCTTAATACTGAAAATAACTCAAGAAACTTTAAATGTCTTCATTTATATAATAGAAGAATAGATTCTTATTAAAATAAATTAGGATATAAATTTACATAACTCGTATACAAAGAAGAGAAAGAGAAAGATTAACATTCGATAACATTGTCCTGATATTTTATTATCATATATCCAATTAAACTAAAATCTGAATAGGGGATAATTTAAAGGGGAAAAAATATATATAACAACAATAATAATATCATTAATCTACATTTTTATGATAATTTTTTAAAAAAAAATAATAAAAAAATGTAGAATAAAACACATATGTTAACAAGGAAAATGTCAATTAACAGATTAAATAGTGGGCTTAAGGGTATAGATATAAATCAACCCTTTATCACCAGTTAGTAGTCAGACTACATCATAGGATAGAGAAAATAAGGCAATATATTCAAAAACACCTTTGCATATACACGACAGTCGTCTTCGAATCATTATTTTCAATGAAGATAATGCATCCTGTGCTTCGAAAGCATCACATTTGTTATAAATACTGACAAGAACGGTGCAGACTACAAAATGAGATTCTCAATCATGATCTTACAAAAGAAAATTTGTATAACACAACATTACCATTAGAGTCAGAAGCGACAGCCTGTAAATCACACAAAGGTCATCTTTTAGAAGTAAACTTTTAGTAACGAGTCCACCCCTGAAGGTGACTAATGAGACTTTTATATTATGCAGATGTGTTTTCTGTAATTTTAGTTCGTAATTTTTAGTTGTCAAATGTATATATAACTGTGTAGGAAGGATTTAATAGTGTTTACTAATAACCTGTGATGCTTTAATATTTTATCTTCCTAATTAGTTACATTTAAATAAAAAAAAACACGAAATTTTTTGTATTAATTGGCAAAATGGAACTAAAAATTCTTATAATAAAATTTATTTTTAATCATTTATAATCTTATGAAGATAATTTTTAAGTTTTAAGTATATTTTTTGATATTTTAGTAAGTAAAATATATCTTTCAATACAAAAAAAAAGATTAGAAAATTGTAATTTATAAATTAATTTTTTTTAATAAACAGAATATTCATCGAATAGAATAATTAATAAATAAATACTTTAATTAATTTTTATAAAATTAAACATAATATTTAAATATTCTGCAACACGTCTTAAGTACCGCATCCTTAATCATCCGCATCATTTATCCTTAGTTAATTTAATGATCATGGATTCCATTCTTATATTTCTTTTGTTGATACAGTCAATGGCATTTAGAACCTTATTAATACTGATTAATGTCTCTGTGGAGAATGAAAGTTCCCACAACAGCCTCAGGTATATATATATTCTTAGTGGCAATACGTTTACGAGTTACAACTTCAACTCTAGGCATTTATAACTAAGGACGAGTTCAATTATTGTTCTAATTTACTAGTCAATAATTTAATATAATTTATTATATTTATATTTAAGTAATTTTAAAAATATAATTTTTTTTTTCTTTCTAGTTGAGGCATCGATTTGGTTGCTACGATGAAATTCAAGACATCGCATCTCATAAAATTCGTCAATGTAACTGGGTGAGGTTCTTACGATTTTCTCCTACATTCAGTGGAGAAGTCAATCTCTTGGGTTCTTTAGTAAAAGGAGAACCAGTTTATGAAACCATCAGGACTGTTGCACCACACACAGAGTTGGTGGTTTATTATGAAGACACTGAAGAAGATTATAAAAACCCAGTTGACTTAATTTCCACTCAATATAAACAAGCCATGGGAATGATCCTTGAAGGTTAATTTATCCTATTATTCTAATAAATTTATAAAAATCAATAAAAAAATTCTATTAAAAAAAACTCCTCTTATGCTTCACTTCTTAGAGATTCTTAGTTTATCATAAACTAGAATTGCAAAATCGTAAGATTTGTAAGTGAAAAACTCGAGTTAAATGTATTTTTCTAACAATTTATATATATATTTTTTTCTACATGAAAAATGGTTTAATTTTTAATAAATGTATTTAAAAATAAGTAATTTTATTGTAAAAATATCGTGCAATAAAATTAAGAATATAGCATCGTACGTTCACTCTTCACATCCAGATAACAACAAACAATCCCTAAATTAATTAGTCATCATAAGAATTAATAAATTATTAAATTAAAAAGATAAAAAAATAATACATAATTGAATACTATATTATCGTGTAATTCGTATGACAATTCGGAATCAATTTTACCTTATGAATCTTTTGTGTCATCCATAAAGGATCTCTCTCTCTCTCTTGTTTTTTCATCCTCCATTTTTTTTAACAGACTGACATTGCCCTAAGCTGTACTAGACACGTTACTTCTAGGGCAAGTTTTGCTTAAGGCAAAGGCGTTTCCTCGAACTTCTTAGTTGAGTGACCCCCAATCCCCGAAATCTTCTCTTAAACTTGAAGTAAAAGATGACAGTAATATCAGTAACTATATATTGTAAGTAGCATTGAATCACTCCTCGACTCTTCTACAATGAGAATAAGCCTTCGGCTTTTGACTGAAGAATTATCGCCTATATTCTTCATCCTGGCTATTTCAAAATTGATTTAAATTGCTTGCTTCCTTTATAAGTTTCCAGACTCGCTTACTCTAGGCAATGTAATTAGCTTGCTTCATTAGAAAAAATAATAATAATATATATATTTTTTTCTTTATATATAAAGTATATTGTCAATGATATAATACTTATTATCAAACACGGAAATCTCAAGTCAACTGTAGGATATTTAATTGACAATTTGAGTACTCAAATGCACGACAATTTATAAAAATATATGATATGTGTACTAATTATATCAAAATTAAACGTCTGGGTGCACGAAAATGTAAAGTTTATAAGGGATGTGAGTGTTTTATGTGTATGGAAATTCATAGCTCTTAAGGGATGCAAATGTTCTACATATATGAACATTTACATAAGGATACAGGCGCTTTATATATATAAAATTCGTAGTTTATAAAGGTTGTGAATGTATATGGTAATTCATAGTTCATACGCATGTAAATTGTCTAGACACAAACATTTACATAAGGGATCTGATAGGCTACAAATACATAAAAATGTAGTCTCTAAGGGATGTGTTTCACATATAAAAATTTATAGTTTGTAAGAATTATCAGTGTTTCGGCGATAGGGACATTTACATAAAAAATGAGAGTGCTCTAAGGAAATAAAAAATTATACAGTATACATAATAGAATTCTTATGTTAAAATAAGTAAATTAAAGGAAGATATTCACATAATCTACAATTTACTAATAACCTAAAGGTTAAATTTTATCAGAAATGAAGCATAAGACATCATCATCAGCTCGATTAGATCCGCTACTTGACACGTTTAATCAACAGTGAGAAAGTAATGACATAATTAACGTAACAATAAACAAATTAAATAATTGCCTTATAATATTTATGTGTTTAAAACAACCTTAAATTTTTAAAAAAAAAACGTATTATTTTCTAATCTACAGAAACGCCTTTGGATCTATCGAAATCATTGTTCACTCATCGAATATCAGGAACGACTCAATTGACAGTAGACGATGGCAAGACGTTACCTAGTCGACTTCTGATGACACCTCCTTCTGAAAGTGACGAACGTCGTTCCTACTCAGGCGACAGTCTGTCTCCTAACGATGAGGTGGGTAACCTGGCAAACACCTCTTCTCTTAGCAATAAGGAGAAGAAGACAGGTGACATATTTCTCACCTGCCTCACGTGCCATTTTTTTCTCACTTGTGAGAGGTTATTATACCAAAATTTTAGTACGTATAAAAACTATAAATTTAGTATATATGTATTAATTATAATTTATTATATTATGACGTCTCTTTAAAAAAAACAAAAAGAACAAAGAAAATAAAACAATACTGCAATAAGTTACTTTATGTACGAACAATAAACGTCTTCTCTGAATACAAATGTGAGTTTAATGGTTAACGTTTGTAAATAAACAAAACAAGAGGTGAATAATTTGATATTTAATTAAATATTTTGTTTGTTTCCTTCAATTTAATAATGGGAAATCGAGTCCATTTTGTTTTCTGTACGTAACCAGTCGAGAATTTTAATATGTAACATTAATTCTGTGCTATTCTGTATATCTTAATGTGCTTGTAATAGTAATAAAATATAATTAAATGTGAGTTATTTTTAAATTTATATAGTCTACTGTTTAATTAATTTTAATTAAATATTTTATACAGTCATTAATAGATACTAGGTTGGTTATGGCTAAGAAAGGGAGAGAAAGACATTTGTTACCGTGTGAAGTATGTGGTAAAGCATTCGATAGACCCTCTCTACTTCGTCGACATATGAGAACACATACAGGTAAAAACATACCTTTTTTTTAATGCATTTTATACAACTTTACAGTATAAATTTTGTAATTTTTATTTACGTCGAGGTGATAAAAGTTAGAATAATTAATTTAGATAGTGCAGAAACAGTATACTAACAACCGAAACATTCAATAGGTAATTTTCTTCTTAAGAAATAAGTAGAGAACAAGTGTTGACAGGGTATGACCGTTATAAGAGTAGAAGCTACTGAATTTAACCACAACAATTCAAGCCAAGCGTGCAAAAATCACGACAATCGTGAGGCCTCCGTCACCTCACGATGGATCTTCTAGGTCGTGTTATATTCTACCCCCTGGCTATATAATTGTTATCATCAGTAGAGCCTGGGGTGTTCCACGTAACAATAGCTATATACCGTGTGTGACGAAAAGGTGGGGGTATAGGGCATAACCATTACGCTTCTGGCAATGACGTTTCTTGTTTGTTTTCGCTTTCTTTTTTCTTCTTTTCTCGATTGTCTTTTATGTTCTCTATAACCCGTACAGAGATGATACCCTTTAAAGATTACAAAGCGCAAAAATTAGGACGACATGATGTGTGAACTTAAATATAACATTAAAAAAACACAGCATTATCTATTGTTTTCTAATATTCGACCGAAGTTAATAGTTTATTATTAATTTTTTCTTTTCTCTCTCTCTCTCTTTTTTTACTGAATATATATGAAGTAGAACGTCTAGAGTTTAATTTTCTCATAATTGTTCTCGTAAATTTAATTATTATATACTTATTCCAGGTGAAAAACCACATGTTTGTGATGTTTGTGGCAAAGGTTTCAGTACTTCAAGCTCGCTCAATACTCACAGAAGGATTCACTCAGGAGAAAAACCGCATCAATGTCATGTATGTGGAAAAAGATTTACAGCAAGTTCTAACCTGTATTATCATCGAATGACCCATAGCAAAGTAAGGAGTGAAGTATATTTTAAAACTACATAATGTGCTCTTTCTAATGATATATAACATTATATAAAAATTATAAGCAAATATTTTTTAAAAAATCCATTAAGTAAATAAATCGAGTAGCAAGTTTAAAAAAGAAATTCCCCACTTAAAAATAATGAATTTTTCTTAAGAAAACACTTAAAATCTTAGAAAAAAAATTATATTTATATAAATTCTAAACGTAAATTCAATTGGGATTTTTTTAAATGTATATTTTTTTTAGTAGTTTAAGTTATACTTTTTTTTTCCTTGCATTAAGGGGTGAGAAAGTGATATAGAATACTGTTTGACAAAATCAGTCATGCTGAAAGTTATCTCACAAACTGATCTTTACGACGTAACACAATACACAACGTCCATACTGAGAAAATAGGAAAAGACCTAACATATATACCTGCCAGCTAAGAACTGATACTCTTTACATTATTGATTAAAGAATGAAATAGAGCAATTATACTGTATAAAAATCTATAAAAATGTATTTAAAAAAAACTAAAATTTTACTTTTAATTAAATAATAAAAGTGTATATTTAAATTATCTTCTTCTATCTTGATCCCATCTTCATCATTTTATCTTCCATTCTGATCCCAACTTCATCAGAACGTTTCAAAAATATGTATTAAAAACTAAATAATTTTTCTCCATTTTTTAAATATTTATAACACATAAATTAAAAATTTTTTTAATTATTTTTACTTCATTCTCCATATATAAGCCTTCTAAGTAAGGTTATGTAAGGTTATAAGTGACAGGCCTACATATAAAGAAATTCGAAACAGGGGAATTTATTATGGTTAAAGTAAAATGAATATATTAAAAAGACACACCTGTTTTCTCACGGAAGAAATTGAGGAAAATAAAGAAAAAAATAATAATAATAAGAAAGAAAAATTTCCGAATCAGATCTGTACGACTTTATTATTCTGTTAAGAAGAATAGTGACACATCAGACCTTATAAGGTTGACACGTCACTGGGGAGTACACAGACTTTCTACTGTTTTACAGGGCGTGTTACACTCTCGCCTTAGACCACCTGGCGTCTGAAGGAGTTCACCTGTTACGCAATTTGACTCCATGTGTTAGCTTCCCACAGGTGCATCGTACCAACACCCTTTTTTCTATAATCAGGACTGTAATATTTGGCACAAAAACAAAAATTCTATATAAACTGGTGGAATTTTTGTATCGTGCCCTATAAACTATAAAGTTTCATGGTTTTGCAAGTGAAATATCGTAAAAATTCTGCCTAAAGATTTAAGTAAATCGCCCTTTTACTTAATAAAATTAAAACTAATTTCTATGCTCCTATACGAGTTAATTATGTACTAAATTTAATTTTACAATAATTTTAATTGCTTTATAATTAAAATAAAAGATAAAACTAATTGTAATTTATCCAAAATTACAGATTTTATGTATTATTTAATAATCCTCTCCTTTATTCTTCGTTTTAATGCATTGATAACTGGAACTGATCTTAAGTTTCGTCGTTACTAAATAATTCATTAAAATGTAATATTAATTATAAAATTAAATATAGATAATTAATTNTTTTAATAAACAGAATATTCATCGAATAGAATAATTAATAAATAAATACTTTAATTAATTTTTATAAAATTAAGCATAATATTTAAATATTCTGCAACACATCTTAAGTACCGCATCCTTAATCATCCGCATCATTTATCCTTAGTTAATTTAATGATCATGGATTCCATTCTTATATTTCTTTTGTTGATACAGTCAATGGCATTTAGAACCTTATTAATACTGATTAATGTCTCTATGGAGAATGAAAGTTCCCACAACAGCCTCAGGTATATATATATTCTTAGTGGCAATACGTTTACGAGTTACAACTTCAACTCTAGGCATTTATAACTAAGGACGAGTTCAATTATTGTTCTAATTTACTAGTCAATAATTTAATATAATTTATTATATTTATATTTAAGTAATTTTAAAAATATAATTTTTTTTTCTTTCTAGTTGAGGCATCGATTTGGTTGCTACGATGAAATTCAAGACATCGCATCTCATAAAATTCGTCAATGTAACTGGGTGAGGTTCTTACGATTTTCTCCTACATTCAGTGGAGAAGTCAATCTCTTGGGTTCTTTAGTAAAAGGAGAACCAGTTTATGAAACCATCAGGACTGTTGCACCACACACAGAGTTGGTGGTTTATTATGAAGACACTGAAGAAGATTATAAAAACCCAGTTGACTTAATTTCCACTCAATATAAACAAGCCATGGGAATGATCCTTGAAGGTTAATTTATCCTATTATTCTAATAAATTTATAAAAATCAATAAAAAAATTCTATTAAAAAAAACTCCTCTTATGCTTCACTTCTTAGAGATTCTTAGTTTATCATAAACTAGAATTGCAAAATCGTAAGATTTGTAAGTGAAAAACTCGAGTTAAATGTATTTTTCTAACAATTTATATATATATTTTTTTCTACATGAAAAATGGTTTAATTTTTAATAAATGTATTTAAAAATAAGTAATTTTATTGTAAAAATATCGTGCAATAAAATTAAGAATATAGCATCGTACGTTCACTCTTCACATCCAGATAACAACAAACAATCCCTAAATTAATTAGTCATCATAAGAATTAATAAATTATTAAATTAAAAAGATAAAAAAATAATACATAATTGAATACTATATTATCGTGTAATTCGTATGACAATTCGGAATCAATTTTACCTTATGAATCTTTTGTGTCATCCATAAAGGATCTCTCTCTCTCTCTTGTTTTTTCATCCTCCATTTTTTTTTAACAGACTGACATTGCCCTAAGCTGTACTAGACACGTTACTTCTAGGGCAAGTTTTGCTTAAGGCAAAGGCGTTTCCTCGAACTTCTTAGTTGAGTGACCCCCAATCCCCGAAATCTTCTCTTAAACTTGAAGTAAAAGATGACAGTAATATCAGTAACTATATATTGTAAGTAGCATTGAATCACTCCTCGACTCTTCTACAATGAGAATAAGCCTTCGGCTTTTGACTGAAGAATTATCGCCTATATTCTTCATCCTGGCTATTTCAAAATTGATTTAAATTGCTTGCTTCCTTTATAAGTTTCCAGACTCGCTTACTCTAGGCAATGTAATTAGCTTGCTTCATTAGAAAAAATAATAATAATATATATATTTTTTTCTTTATATATAAAGTATATTGTCAATGATATAATACTTATTATCAAACACGGAAATCTCAAGTCAACTGTAGGATATTTAATTGACAATTTGAGTACTCAAATGCACGACAATTTATAAAAATATATGATATGTGTACTAATTATATCAAAATTAAACGTCTGGGTGCACGAAAATGTAAAGTTTATAAGGGATGTGAGTGTTTTATGTGTATGGAAATTCATAGCTCTTAAGGGATGCAAATGTTCTACATATATGAACATTTACATAAGGATACAGGCGCTTTATATATATAAAATTCGTAGTTTATAAAGGTTGTGAATGTATATGGTAATTCATAGTTCATACGCATGTAAATTGTCTAGACACAAACATTTACATAAGGGATCTGATAGGCTACAAATACATAAAAATGTAGTCTCTAAGGGATGTGTTTCACATATAAAAATTTATAGTTTGTAAGAATTATCAGTGTTTCGGCGATAGGGACATTTACATAAAAAATGAGAGTGCTCTAAGGAAATAAAAAATTATACAGTATACATAATAGAATTCTTATGTTAAAATAAGTAAATTAAAGGAAGATATTCACATAATCTACAATTTACTAATAACCTAAAGGTTAAATTTTATCAGAAATGAAGCATAAGACATCATCATCAGCTCGATTAGATCCGCTACTTGACACGTTTAATCAACAGTGAGAAAGTAATGACATAATTAACGTAACAATAAACAAATTAAATAATTGCCTTATAATATTTATGTGTTTAAAACAACCTTAAATTTTTAAAAAAAAAACGTATTATTTTCTAATCTACAGAAACGCCTTTGGATCTATCGAAATCATTGTTCACTCATCGAATATCAGGAACGACTCAATTGACAGTAGACGATGGCAAGACGTTACCTAGTCGACTTCTGATGACACCTCCTTCTGAAAGTGACGAACGTCGTTCCTACTCAGGCGACAGTCTGTCTCCTAACGATGAGGTGGGTAACCTGGCAAACACCTCTTCTCTTAGCAATAAGGAGAAGAAGACAGGTGACATATTTCTCACCTGCCTCACGTGCCATTTTTTTCTCACTTGTGAGAGGTTATTATACCAAAATTTTAGTACGTATAAAAACTATAAATTTAGTATATATGTATTAATTATAATTTATTATATTATGACGTCTCTTTAAAAAAAAACAAAAAGAACAAAGAAAATAAAACAATACTGCAATAAGTTACTTTATGTACGAACAATAAACGTCTTCTCTGAATACAAATGTGAGTTTAATGGTTAACGTTTGTAAATAAACAAAACAAGAGGTGAATAATTTGATATTTAATTAAATATTTTGTTTGTTTCCTTCAATTTAATAATGGGAAATCGAGTCCATTTTGTTTTCTGTACGTAACCAGTCGAGAATTTTAATATGTAACATTAATTCTGTGCTATTCTGTATATCTTAATGTGCTTGTAATAGTAATAAAATATAATTAAATGTGAGTTATTTTTAAATTTATATAGTCTACTGTTTAATTAATTTTAATTAAATTTTTTATACAGTCATTAATAGATACTAGGTTGGTGCATAATATTTAAATATTCTGCAACACATCTTAAGTACCGCATCCTTAATCATCCGCATCATTTATCCTTAGTTAATTTAATGATCATGGATTCCATTCTTATATTTCTTTTGTTGATACAGTCAATGGCATTTAGAACCTTATTAATACTGATTAATGTCTCTATGGAGAATGAAAGTTCCCACAACAGCCTCAGGTATATA